TTACAAAATGTATAATGATATCGATGAAATTCGATTGACTGACTATTATATTAGACTCTACATTTTCCAACGATCAGAAAGAATTCAGAAATTTATTCCACATAACTTTTATACGCTTATACCGCAATATTATTATTATTATTTGTTTATTTTATGTCCATGTATTTTATGTTATGTATTTTATGTTACGTTATATCGTGTGTATTTTTGAGTATTTTTAACATTTTAATTTACCGATATATTATACTTTAAAGAAGAAGTAACAGAACCATTATGTTAAAAATATTCAATGCAAAGCTTCGCCCAATTTTGCCTCAGAATATTATTTGAACTTTTCAATAAATAATATCTTTCATAATTTCAGTGAATTTTAGAAATTAAAAAAAAAATCCTCTCGTTTTTTTCGTTACGCTATGTCATCGATGTTACTTTTTAATTTACGAAACATGCATTAGTATGTTTAAAATCGTGTCGTTACGTTCGTTTAAAATTGCATAGTGCACTTGAGAATTTTAATTCGTGAAATTTTGCTCGAACCGAGTTGATTTTGCACGAAATTTTTAAATCGTAAATTCTGTACGTAGAAATTTAGTAACCTGATTCGTCATATTTTTAATAGTGGAAAAAGATGAAGGAAAGCGATAAACATCGGTCGATCTAAATTTTGAATGAATGAACGTGAAAATTCGTTAAACCAATTTTGTTTACGTACATTAGGGACAGATAAATATATTATGTATATATTGGTCGATTGTCACGTCAAACGATAGATGATACATGCTCCGCGAGAGGGAGAGGGGGAACTACTTTCTTCATGTGCAGCGTGAACAAAGAAAAATCAGGGTAACGATAATCCTATTTGGTCACGTTTGCATTAGTCATGCATAAATACAGAAATTATTCTAACCAATACAAAAAGGAAAGCTTAGGGTCTAATATCGCAATTGGCTTTACTCTTGCAAGCTCTTTTATCTCGTGTCTATATTCAGATTTATGTGAGTTAATGGTCGTTAATAATTGTTCGTATAATGAATCTCTTCAATTTTAGATGCGTATAATCTTCGTTGATTGTTTTCATGTTTTCTGTTATCCGTATTTATAAACTGTATTATCATCTACTGGAAAAAAGAAAAAAAAAAAAAAAGAAAAGAAAAAATCAAATATGAAATAGCTACGTGATCATAGTTTCAGTAAGGTTCGCGAGGAATAACAAATTTGAACGCGCGGTGCAAATAGGTTAGAATAGTATACGGAGTACCTCGAGAAGAAAAATAAATAATATGTTTCACATAAACCTTTGATTCCAACGATATGTTTTGGCAAAAGCTTAATTCGTATAAATATACATATAAATAAATACGTTTCGTATATTTACTTATATCTATATTTATATTTGTATATTTATATATATATATTTTTTTGTATTTTTACATTTATATATATAAACACAGTTACTCGATATTACCTCTCTAAGTCTTTTTATATGAATCTACGAGCATCCTAGGCCTTCTTTTAAAATCAAAGAAAAAGATAGAAGCACAGTCGAAATATAGCAGAGCTCATTTCTATATAATCAGTCTAGGTTCTGTAGAACACAAGTGTACGCTCTCAGTCAATGGCATCGCAGAAGTATCTGGCATTTGATCGGAGAAGTCAGTTGCCAGTGAACGCAATGACGTTGCAATTAAAAGAAAGTGTTGTTAGTAAACGAATATTCACTCACGCTCCCACTCGAACGCATATGCCCTCGCATTCGCATGTTACGTTAAACTCTACACGTATCACATTTCTAAATGCACACGGACAACACAAACTCTCCTCTACTCTCTAATTTTAAACACTTACTGAATCTTCTTATTAGATTGCAGGTGAAAGATTCGGAGGCCGTGTTTGTTTCCTCGCACCTTAGGTCACAAATCGTTGCGTCGTTTTTCGCAAATTTTAAATTCGGCACAGACAATAAACGACCTTCCCTCTTCGCTTGTTTCATTTTCACGATTTTCTTCAGTCTCGGCGGTTTCATTTCGTTCTCGGCTAACGTCAAGTTAACCGGCCGAACGGCATCTGATTTGCCGACGGAGTTCTCGATCGGAAACCGTGCGATCGACTTGCTGTTATCTCCATCTGTCACCGGACTTTTCGCTTCTTGAATGCTCCTCTTTTTATCATCGTTTAGCGGACTCTCGTGTCCAGGTGTTGACTCTTCTGACGATAGCGAAGCCTCTGACACGTTACTTTCAACTGGAGACAACGAACTCGCGGTTTCGTTCACGTTACAGTAAAAAACCGAAGATTTCTGACTGCTACTATCAGTGCCTACCTGTTAAAAATGGGGTACTTGTATTTACTTTTTAGTCCTGCAGGCCTATGCATCAGATGGTAAAATTTGTGTCGTACACAAGCTCAAATGATTAAATTCAAAACTATATGATCGACTGCTAATTCATGTACGATTTTTAAACGTTTTTTTATTTTTTTGGAGTTTAACCATAACAAAGATATTGTAAAACGAAAGCTAGCACATTTTAATTAAAAAAAGAATTTAGGAAAATATGAATTCATATTTTTCATAGAAAGAGAATTCGAAATATCTTGAGCGTTTTGTTTTCTTAATTGGATCTCGAAGCAAAGTGCCAATGCATGTAACAACATATAATTGTAAGTAAATTATAATGTTTGAACTTGAACATATCGAAGCTTGCTCTATATTGCTGGAAAAATAATAAAATAAATCCTACATAAAAAGAAAACATAAGAAAATAAGTATAAAATAACAAAATTATTTGAGTTGTATAATATAAATAACTTTTTAGTTGCTTTTTCGACTGTTTTAAAAATATACATAATAATTCTTCTGTAATAAATAAAAATGAAATAATATTGTTTGTATAGATTCTGTTATCATCACATTTTGAATATGAAAAAATTTAGCTATTGTAATTAATTTCTAAAGTAATTAAACAAGCATGAATTATTTAATTCATTCTTTTTATTTCTGTTATTCATATTTTTAAATATTAAATATTAGATTTGTGCACATATTTTGCATCATTTGCAGAAGAAAAAGCAACCTTTTTCATGAAACTCAGAAAAAACATAACTATATTATTATCTGAAACAAGGACAAAGGGAAAGCAATGAAAAAAGCAGAACAAAAATACAAAGGGAAAGAAATAACAATGCGACAAATGAAGCCATTTCAAGGGATATGAAGCATGTCACTGGTTATAATATATCTTTCATTTATGTCGGCAAAATAAAATAAAATAAAAATTTTATCATACATTTCATAAAAGATATGGAAAATATTAAAACCAATTCTTGTCTGATATTTTAGCTTGAGATCACAAAATAAGATTCAGAAAACTATTGAGAAATGAAAATTATTAATTTACCGATATAAAAATAAAAAATTTAAACAATTTCTTTCATTGACATAATAATTTAACTAATCGGAATTTATAGATTTTACGTAAAGAATTATGTATAGAAAACAATTTTTAAAAATTTGTGGAAATTACAGAATTATTAAAGAATTATTAAACAAATAATACTTTTTTAATAGTATACCATATTTTGTACTATCGACGTATGTATATGCTACCATTATAATATAATTAACATATAGCAATATACTAACGTCACAAAACTGAAATATCCAACAACATTAAAATAAACCACATCGTGTTTGAATATCTCTTAAAAAATATATGATAATGCTAAAAAAAACAATACTAAATTCATTTCGTAGATTTTTAGAAGTTGACATAAAGAAAAGAAATAATTTCAGATAATATGAATTATCTCAGCTTACATGTCATGATCTCTAAAAGTAACGAAAGGTGTATTCGAAGGATATCAAAAAGCATACAAGTACCCCATTCTGAGACGTCACCAAAGTCGGCGTGAAAGTACTTTTTATTTTCAGATCAACCTTGCTAAGTTGCCTCTTCAGACTGAATCCCTTCCAACCGTGATTCTTAGTACAGTCTTCTTCGTTCACTGTACATCCAGGTTTATTGATTTCATTTACAGATTCCTCCACGGTTCCCTTATCATTATTGCTTCCAGTTTGTAATTCACCGCATTGTTGAGAATGTTGAGCATTGTCAGCTACCATTGCTAATAAGCCTTCAGATTCCACGGTAGAGTCTCCACGAGTCTAACGGATTTAACATGTTGGATTTTGCACAATGAATTAATGTGTACTGAATAAACGTCAAGATTGTTTAATTCTAATTCTAAAAGCAAATCATTTTATGTATTATATGCATATTATACACAACATTGTTATATATGTATATATGTTAGTAACGCTTATCAGTTAGTATGGTCCCGCACCTCATGGAATTCATAAGATATGGTATAATATAGTCTTATAAATATAAACATATGGAACACTACGTTAAATATAATACACTATACCTATATATATGTTATATATGTATATATATACATATGACCGTAAACGTATTTTTATAGAAATCACGTTGGAAACTTGAATCATCAAACGAAGAAATATCGCAAACGCATGGTCACTTGTCACTTCCCAAATGAATGCAATTGTTGAGATGTTCGAAATGAAGAGTGCAGACAAGGGAAGGTATATATTTGAAACGGTTCTTTAAAACTCGGTTCATTCGCGCATTTTAAAGTTAATGCAATGAATACCTAAGATGCTCATAGAAACAATGTCTTAATAAACCTAGCTTTATACATTAGAGATATAAATATATATGCAACATTGAATGCTTCTTCAGAAATTCAAGTATATACAGAATATTTTTATTTCTTAATCAATTCACGCTATAAATTATATATGATCTCGATATTAAATATATTGAATAATAATATTGCCTAAATAACTATTTAGGAAATTATATATGTATATGCGTTTAATAAGATTAATTAATATTCTTTTTATAATTATTAACGATAAAAACACAAGACAGGGATAAAGATTGACTTAAAATATGGCATTTTAAACTTGACTCCTGAATAAGCATATATTATCATATAACCTATAGTATAGAGGGTGTCTACAATTTTTCCAATACCAACACGATACTTAAAATATGCTTACCAAATATCTGTTGTATATTATTCAAAGAAATTAATATTAACAAACACAAACCACACATTTGACAATATAATTGTTTAGGTTAAAAAGATTTTCGTGTGTTAAATACTTAATAGTAAATTTTCCTATAATATTTGAACAACCCAGTTACATTAAGTTTATGTTATAAAATAGATAATAAGATAAGAATAAGACAATAAAGATAATAAATTTGCTTATATCGGAATAAATTTTAAACATGCAAATTTTCAAGATATAGCAATACGTTATGTACATAGGGTATATTACTAAAGCTTGCAGCATAATATTTCAGAAAATATGAAAAACACAAATTTATAATTTATGCTTTTTCCAATGTAAGAATTTCTCAATGACAATGTGTTGTTTTAATTATTACAATATAATTTTTTAAATTGTAACGAATTATCTTGTAATAAATAAAGGATTTTTCACATCGAATAACATGCAAAAACCAGAAAATTTCTACCTTTTATAATTTTTGAAATACTAACCAGTAACAACTTTAATAATATACTCTACAAGCTGATGAAAAAGAAGGTTCTTAACTTACAGGTTCAACAAGATAAATAGTACTTATCAAATGAAAATGATCTGAATAAACATTAGCCGAAAAATTAATATTCTCTAAGTTAAAATAAAAACAATTTTTTATTTCAATTAAAACATAATATAGCATAAAAGCAGTAGAATGATCTGATCATTTTTCTTTTTCTGATTACAGAGTGTAATCATCCATGTGTTTAAAATAGTGACCTATCGTAAAATTTATGATTGAAAATATGGATAGTTGCTATTTTTGACGATTGGTATATTTAATTATTTTTGGGAATGTTTTAAATTATTTTATAGTTAGGAAAAGGTAGCAAATTCAATAAATATTTAAGAATTTTATCTTTCCAGCTGAATAGCAACAGACACAACATTTCTTAGAAGTTTAAGTGACTTCTTACCCTTACAGTAAAGAATGTAATTACACAGAATTGACGTATAGATACAGTAGGTCACACCAACGACATATATAAAGGGCAAGGACTATAGTTGATTCGAACGATATAGAATACTTGTAAATTTCTCAAACTTCTCAAATAATAATATTGATAATTTTGTAAATACAATTAATATTAGAATATCGTAATAGCAGAACAAGTATAATATAATAATGTAATATCAATATTAAAATATCCTTTAAGGATGCGTGACTGTTTAATATTAGCAAATTTAATAAAAATTTAATATTAGCAAGTTTAATATTAGCAAATTGAATAAAAATGCGTAAAAATTACATACAATAATATTTAAACTTTTGTAAATGCAATTAATACATATGTATGTATTAGAATAGTAGTTTAAAATATGTCGGAATATATCGGAATTCTTATCTTTAGTATTCAAAATTTAAGTAGGCATATGGTGATATACCGTAATAAAATACGATGAGAAAATTTCTCCAATGCGAGAGACAAAACCAATAAAATATACTTGGCACATAACATATTAAGTGATACTTTCACTGTTGAAGTCGACATTCAGAACCACATGCAGTTTGTATTTACATGTATTCTATGTAAAATAATAAACCAAAAATATTACTCAGTAATTTTGGATCTTAACTTAGTTTATTAATTACCGTTTACTATCAATTTACTACCACTAAATTCTGTTTAATATTTTCACATTTAAAAAATCTTTAACTTTTTCCAAATTGATTGGCTGAATCAATTATTTCAAATTACTGTTTCTAAAATTGTGAACTTCTTATATTAACCCTTTGCACTCGACGATTTTTTGGCTGAAGAAGAGTAGGAGTTCGAAGATGTTCTACTATGAAGCTGGCGATACTTTTTTGAGCAGTAAATAAAGAATTGTATAATAATAGAATTGTAGAATTATTTGATTTCGATCCCTCGCACACCGTTACATTATCTTAAATTTGACGTATTAATTAATATCGATCTTTGAAATTTTATCAACTGGCGACTGAAGGGCACCTCTCGAGTGCAAAGAGTTAAAGTTTTAAGAAAATTTAAGTTTATTTTAATTAAAAATAAAAATGTATTTTTATGTTCGACCGATTTTACGAGCGCAATGTATTGTTCGAACCAACTATATTCGTGTCTCTTACCTCTATACTGATCTAGCCATCTCTGTTTCTCCACAGAACTGTAATATGTTATTGATACAGTTTGTTGTTTGACGTAATTCTCTTTCGGTTATTTATCATTCGAACCAATTATACGTTATCCATATCCGTCGATATAACTAATGGAATTGAGCTGTGTTCATTTTCAGTGCTCCATGTTTCTGCATATAAGGACGTCTTTGCAGGGGTCAGAGAATTTCAAAAATATATAGACAATCAAACTTTAGATTTCATTAGACTAAACTAGATGTGAATAACGTTGTCTAATAACGTTTATTCGTATTAATAAATGGGATATTTATATTTTCAAATTAACTCTTCAAATACAGTGCGAATCTTAATATTATATAACTTTCTTCCATTTTCGTATATACTTGATAATTCTATACCAGAGAATTGTATACTCTTCCAAAAATTTCTAAACATACTATGATTATTTTATTCGTTTTAATCGAAATAAAAAGTTGCTTGTAACATCGAAAATATTAATTTTTCGGTTTATTTTTATTCTTGTTTATGGCTTTTTTCATTCATTTGACGAGTACTATAAATTACGTATACTAAAAGGTACGAACTTTCTTTTTCTACCACTCTGTGCATATTTATATATCTTGTATGCATTACTCTTTCACCGAGGATAAAACAGCGAAAAAAATTAATAAATATAAAACTTTCTATAATTCATCTGTAAACAGAATTAGAGTAAATTGATTTTTTCCCGATTATTAATTATTTTAATAAGATAAGAATAGTTAACATTTTAAACCTATTATCGATATATTCCGTCTCGATTGTAATAACACTCCTTCATGACTTTCTTCTAATTATTTCAATAAAATTGAAACAGTTTGGTTAAAAAATAATAATTTAAAAAAATATCAACGCACAACTATTTTCATCGTAAATTATGTCTAGCGTACTTAACATAAACACTGGCTGCAATATACATGTAACCTATATATGTAGACATGTACACAAGCGAATTGAAACATTCCAAAGAATTCTTGACTAGCTTGACTAAATAATAAAATGCGGAAGAATTCTATAGAATGTTTGTGTTATTTACTTTACTGGTTATATCTACATATACATGTATATATTGAAAATCACCTGCTATAATTGTTATTACTTGATTAATGCCGTCATTTATGGAGTCGAAATACGAACGTAACTGAAACATTTCGTAACTTCTCGTTATTAATCCACATTTTTTTATAATATCGTGTAATAATATCATACCACATTGCCTTTTTAATATTTCTGATCGTAAATTCAGATATTATCAAATATTTGCTGATACGTGATTTTTAAAGACCTTACCATTTTTCCAAGCTTTCAACGCAATGAAACCACACAAATTATTTCTGTAATTAATAATATAGCAGTGAATTACATTTTGCCGTAGTTCAGTGATGCGATACTTTAATTACCTTTGTCTAATTAAAATTTAATATATTGCATCTTCCACAACGTGAAAATGAGCAACTTAAATTGCTTGAAAGTTTGGATATTTTCTATTATTACACTCTGTAATTAATTTCAATTTCTAATTAAGTACAATACATAGACTCACTACTTTTGTTATGATATTCTCCGACAACCTTCGTGGGAAAAAAGTTATAAGGAATCAAAGATATATCGATTTCATAGTCAGTTACCATCATAAAATACTACTACAACAAGTATCATTAGCAATGATTTTATGCATAAAGCTTAACGCAAGTCAATGTTGCATGTACAAAGATAAAAGTAACATCTTATATAGCGATAAAATATTCTACTAAAACGTTATTATAGTAAACATTCGTTTAAACACGAAAATAAAAGAGATTCGAAGGGCTTTAATATTTTTTAAGGAGCACTTAAAATTTCTCCTTTAATTAATATATCATAATTTGATTAATATATGTATTATAATATC